GGCCTACCTGGGTAATGATGGGTTGATCAAGGACCAATGGCTGGATGGGTTACTGAAGAGTGCAGCTGGGACCGATGGGTACGGATGGGTACTGAATTCAATACTTTTATAAGTACTGACCGAATTCTGTCAGTACTACTGAGAACCTATTCACGTAACATCAAACGGTACCATGTTTCAGTACCTAAACGCATCATTGTGACCGTATTGGCGTAAGAGTGGTGAGTTTTCCATACTTGTCCTGAACGCAGCATCACGCAAGAGTGTAATGGCTCAGTAAAGTTCGGTCTGAACGTAGCTTGAATACCTTTTATTTATTTAACTGCATCCTCTTTTCTTTATTTCATTTAAACTTATTTACCTCCATGGACCTCCATCACACATGTTTCTAGTGGGGAAATGACATCAATAGAAACACGTGGAGCTGGATTTTAATTTGTGTAATAAGACAAAACACTCTTGTTGTTTTCAACAGTTTTCACCTTAAAGAAATAAGTTACACAACTCATGTTACAATACAAAGAGTTGATATTTGTTAATTTTATATATTGAGAAATATGTTTAAAAAACAAGTTTATTATTAAAAAAACAACACACACAAAGTACCAAAAACTGGTACAGTTAAGTACCGGTACTGATTCCCAGGTACTGGATATTGGTACTGAATCTATTCAAATGTCAAAGGTACCATCCCTACGATGGGTGTATCAGGTACTGTTGGGTGGATTTAATTTAACCAAAACGTGACCTCAGTGATCCTCAGGAGGGAGGACAGGGATAGTGATTTGCACGTGAGTTCAGATTATGTCAGAGCACCGCTCGTCAGGTTAAACTGAGACATTAGAGAATAACGAGTGAACTGTTTTTAAAGGTGACATCATGGTGCGATTGCTGGCTCCTGATTGGCTCAAACAAAATCCTCTTTATTGATCAGAATTCAGATTCTCCTCCACTTCCTGTTGTCCCTTCACAATAAAGCTCCAGATTCTTCCTGTAAACGTTTGTGCAGCTGTAATTGTGCTGAGTCTGCCTCACCATGTGGTTCTGTTTGTCTTCAGATGAACGAGAGGCAGTTCAGAAGAAGACCTTCACCAAATGGGTCAACTCCCACCTGTCCAGGGTCTCCTGCAGGATCACAGACCTCTACATGGACCTGAGAGACGGACGGATGCTCATCAAACTGCTGGAGGTTCTCTCCGGAGAGAGACTGGTACCTGACTTACTAAAACAGTCTGAAAACAAAAAATAAACAATTGACAGAACATTTGAACTTTTAATTTGTAGTTTATGCTTTGAAAAATAACTTAAGATCCTGGTTCTGGATCCAGTTTATAAACTCAAGTTTCAATTGGAATCATCCGTTTAACGAGCTAACAGCTTCCTGTTGACAGAAGCAGCAGCAGGTTGACAGGAGTTCACACCCTGAGGCTTCTGGGTAATGTAGTCTGTTTGTAGCAGCAAAGCTGAATCTGGTTACACCACTTTATTTTACATTAAACTCCTGTTCCAGGAAGTGGGTGGAGCATGCCTCTGTCCCCTCCCCCTTTTATTACAGATTAAACTCCTGTTCCAGGAAGTGGGCGGAGCATGTTTACAGACATATTGAGGGTGTGAGAGTTTTTCCAGCTGTGTTCCACTTCCTGTTTTCTTGTCATCAGTGGTCAGAGCGGATGGGTTCTGACGTCCAGACGGGATGGACCGGCTGGCTGTGGACCAGCTAGGCCCACTTTATGTTCCCTGACCTTCTGTGCTCCTTGTTATTTAGAGCCTGTGGGTCGTTGCTGCCGACATCAAACATCTTTTTTTATGTTTTATTGTGAAAATCTTGACAGAAGTCAGGAAGTTGAATAGTTAAAATCCATAGTTAAAGGTCTGGGACTGCAGGTTTAACTTGGTTTCAAATCAGCAGTCTCTGGTGGACAGCAGAGAGCTGTGGGATCAATCTTGTTCCAGCAGGAAGTGAACTTGAATTGATCAGATTGAATCTGAATGTTCATAATTTGAAATTGAATGAATTGATTTGAAAATGAATTTTACTAAATTGAAATAGAATTTAAAGTTTTGTATCTGAATTAATTTGCTTTGAAACTGTATTTTGGTTTATTAAAAATTCAGTTTGACTACTTTCACTTTCAGTTCCATAATTCAGATTTTTGTGTCACATCCTGGTCC